GTAGAACACACATCTCAAAGTGAGCTAGTCACAATGTCGCAAAAAAAGGCCCATTGAGACTGTGCCAGTCAAAAACAACCACTTCATTATTCTCTAATACCATTTCACCAGCACTCAGCCCATGCCTTGGCATCCCAAGTGCACATCAAAATCCTTCTTCAATGTGATGACGGTTTCTGCCTCTCCCATCTTTACAGGTAGTGAGTTCCAGGTTCCCCACCAGCCTCTGGGTGAAAACGTTTTTCCTCATTGGTCCCTCCATCAAGGAGGAAAAGTTTCTTCCTGCTTACCCAATCTATGCTCCCTCAACATTTGATATATCTCAATCACATCCAGCCTCTCAATCTCCTCTGCTCTAACGAAAACAACCCCAGTCTGTCCAATCTCTCTCCATCACTGGCACTCTCCAGCGTCTAAATCTGCCTCTGCACCCGCTCCCCTTGCATTTAGATACATTCTGTTGTTACAGTGTCTTTTCTTTTATTTACAGCTCACTGTGATGTTGCATCAGGAGGGAAACACGTAAGTTATTTTGCAGTGAAAAAGCTGGTGGTTCATTTTTAATCAGCAAAGTTACGTTTTTAGCAGGTGGTTAATGTAGAGTCACCGTTGTCTCATTACAGAGAGAGAGAGAGAAAGAGATAGAGAGAGACAACAGCAACAACTGTTTTACTGTTTAACCTGAGGGTCACCACATCTAAGGCAAAGGGGAACGATCATTCACAGCAATCTCAACCAGTGCAGAAACTGAACGACGTGCTTTCAGCATGACCAGACAGTCAACTGAGCTAACTAAGCCCTATATGGCAAAAAACATTGGACAGCACGGTGGCTCAGTGGTTAGCACTGCTGCCTCATGTTATCTGTGCGGTTTCCGCCAGGTGCTCCAGTCTTCTCCCATAAGGTGTGTAGGTTAGGTGGGTTGGTCATGCTAAATTGCCCATAGTGTCCAGGGGTGTGTAGATTAGGGAGGTTAATCATGAGAAATGCATGGTTACAGGGACAGGGTAGCAGCGCAGGTCTGGGTGGG